GTTTTGGCACAGCAAAATAAGGACAGTGCCTGCAGCATTGGAAGACCCCTGCATTTATGCTCTCAGTAAGCTGCCATTGTCTCAAAAATGCAGGAAACAGACAGTCATGCTTCTGGGATAAAACTTGTTCCGGCCTTTTGCAACGAACGGGGGCTCAGGACTTTTAAAATACTCAGCCTGGGAATTCAGAGGAACTAGAAAACCGAGACAGGAGATGGTTAGAATGCTACACCTCCAGAGCAATCACTACGCTTTTAACTAGTTAGAATGACAGGTCTCCTGGTGGCCCAGAAGCGGAATGCCTGCCAAAGGGGTTGATGCCAGGCAAAATGGTGCAAGCATGGAAAGGACCTTAAATAATATGCAAACGATACGCAAATGCTCTTTGACTGTATTTGTCCCTCCAAAGGACTGTATGAAACTAGGTGTCAGGAGGGCTCACCAAGGGCCCTCCTGCCGTCCAAAGAGTACAACGTCAGTCAAGCGGCAGCCCCTTTTGTGGCTTTAAAGAAGGATCTGGGATCCTGCCAGAGAGACCCGCCAGGAAAGGCCCAGCCGTCAAGGGAGGTGGAAGGGGCTGCAGCCGGGGATGGCGCGAGCGGCAAGAAGCTGACCGCGAGGTGGAAGGGTTCGGCAAGTTCACCTGTGGGTAGGAAGCCAGAGGACACCTGGGCATGGCTCTGTACCTTTAAGGCCTGGACGGGGAGGGACCCAGGGAATTAAGGAGGAAATAAAGGCTGCGGCAAATGGAAGCCAAGGAAGAAGTGCGGAGCCTGGAGCAGAACGGCAGGATGAGGGAGCAGAGAGCTGTGGCTCCTATCCACTCACAGCTGCTAGCTCAGGTGAAGCCAGAGAGGACGGGTGAGAGAAACCAGTCCCTCTGATTTCTGAGGCAACCAGCCGAGCGTCTTTCCTCGCCCTGGACACTGCGTCCCGTCCAGACGAGGTCCCTAAACAACGACGCCTGACATTAGGTTTAATAAAGAGTCAAGCCAAGCAGGAGAAAACCCAGAAAGTGGACAATTGGAGACAATGTTTCATGGATATTTAAAAAAAACCCCAATAATCACCACTTCAGTTGGGATGCCAAACTGGAGATAAACTGCCACGTGGAAGCAACCTGCAAGCAGTAAGGACATCAGGAATGACTAAAGCCAAGGAGAGAGCTAAAAAGACATTATGTCTTGGCAAAAAAATAACAGATACTAAAGATGGTGAAGAAATGAGAAGCAGGACAGAAATGCCAGGATTTCGACTTCCGGTGGATGGCGGCACGCTGAGCAGTCGCATCTCCCGGACTTCCCGGGGATGCGAGCTGTGCACGAGCGGGAAGGAGGGGATACACAGGCTCATTGCCCCCCAAGAGGCCCGGCGAAGGGCTTCTAGCCATGGGGCTTTTGAGAGGTCGCCTCTTCGCCAGAGCGATGCTGGGGAATTGAGGCACCTCTTCGCCCTGATGGTCCCTCCTGCGAGTGTCCGTATGGAACCTAGTGACGCTGACCGGGACAAGCGCTGGGGATTGAGCGGTCGAATTAGAGACTAAGCGAGGTCGGAAGACCAATATGAACGTGAGTCAGAATAAAGCGTCTTTGACAATTTAAAAAGAAAGCTCCCCACCCCACGGACTGAGAAGTGAAACGAGTGGAGGGAGGGGCTCCTCCCATGCGCATGGACTTTTAAGCAAAAATGGGGGGGAGTGGAAGCAAAAGCATTGAAATCTGTTGAGAAAAACTTACCAAAGCGTGTATGAGTGTTTGAGCGCAAATTCAGAGACTTTAGAAACTGTGGCAAAAGTAAACAATCGATAAAAGATGGTGGGGAAGAAGACGGAGAAGGTGAAACTTTTAAAAGCGAAAGGGGAGAGTAGCTGAGAAGGTGAAAGAAGTTGATGCCACTACTCAAAAGGTGAAGAAAAAGGTACAAAAATGGGGAAAGAAGCAAGTTTCCACAAAAGAACAATTTTTACAGCTGCAAATGGAGAAGGCAAACTTGGTTCTCCAATTCCAGGGTGTCCCAGAATCTAAAGGAGATAATCTGAAGCAAATGCTGAGTGAAGCATTAGCCCCGGTGACAGATTTGACGGCGGAGTACTTGATGAGCGAAATTGATGTGGCCTATAGGTCATATTCCATATATATAAACAATAATAATCTGCCTGGGGAAATAGTAATGAGATTCTCAGAGAGACATGTTAGGGATACTATCCTGAGAGCGACGTCAGGGACAACCTTGAAAATCGGGGACAGCACCATCAGGATCCTTAAAGACATCCCATTTGAAATAAGACAAAGGAGAAGGAAATACAAAGATTTAATCCTTTTTCTTCAAACAAATGCAATCAGCTATCAGTGGCTGTATCCAGAGGACGTAACCTTCAAACTTCAAGATAAAAAGGAAAAGATTGACTCTGTTTCCAAAGCACGGGACTTTTTGAAAATCCAGATGGGTGAGCAAGAGAAAAGTGATAAAGAGGACAGTAAGTCCAGTGGCGAGCTGGACTCGGGGTCTTCTGGAGAGGACTCTCTGTCAGAGAAGGGAGAGGCGGCTCCTAAAAGTCCTTATAAACTGCGAAGAAGACAGGATAAGAAGAAACGAAGGCTGAAGGACTCTGTATTGTGCCTTTGAAAAGGGTTGATTGTTTAACATGTATTATTTTAATGTTGGCATCTGAGAAGAATTACCCCCATTCTATGTTTGTTTGTCCTTAATGTTTGTATTTTTTGAAATTTTTTAAAATATAATTCTAAAAAAAGAAAGAAAAGGGTTGATTGTAACGAGATGCTCTGGGGTTTTTCTTTTTAACAGTTAATTTAATATTCAAAAGTTGTAATAGCAGACCTGACTAAGTTCAAAAAATTGTTAGCGAGTTTAGAACTGACTTTGTACTTAAGAGATTTTGAGGATCTCCTCTCTTGGGATTTTAGATAGTAGTGGGTTTTCTTTTCTTTATCCCTAATTGTAGTTCCCTTCCCTCATTTTCGTTGTAGATTTGTAGTCTTTAGAAAAATGTAATTAAAAAATCCCTTTCAGGGGGCCAAAAATATAATAATGCCAGGATTTCCTCAGGAAAACTCAGTTCCAGTGTCTTTCATGTATCACTGATTTGTTTCACCAAAACAGAACATGACTGTTTACAAATAATGCACTGTTTTACAGATTTTTCCAGAGACAGATGCATCGAAAGATTACATTGGATGGTACCATAGCACAGGAATAATTATTACACACTCAGATCAATATTTGCCTTCCATGAAATTCAAACAGTAATAACCACCAACAGTGCAGCACAGTTAAACAAAGAATTTGAACTTCTTAACAGTTTACAACTTATCCTGCAGTACTGAGCAGCAGGTATCCATTACCAAAGCCACTTGCAGAATATGGTGTAACAGTAAATAGTCTACTTAAAAAAAAAAAAAAAACAATGGAAAGGATGCAGAAGACTCCTACTTCTCATTGCTCTAGCAATGACGTTCCTGGAGTGTGCAAAAGCACTGACGCCCATTCCTATAACAAGACAGAGACAGTGCAATGTAGTGGTTAGAGTGGGGGACGAAGATACCAGGGTTCAAAGCTCCACCAACCTGGGATTAAAACTGATCTCCGGGCTACAGAGATCAGTTCCCCTGGAGAAAAGGGCCGCTTTGGAAGACGGACTCTGTGGCCATTAGACCACAATGAAGTCCCTCCCCTCTCCAAACCCCGCCCCCTCCTCAGGCTCACATCCAAATCTCCTGCTGTTTCCCAGCCTAGAACTGGCAGCCCTCGCCTAATGATGAGGCTCAGGGGTCATTTCCTGCAGGAGCGCACAGGAGCAGAGCTCCAGCAGTAAAGAGACCAGGGGGTGGGCACATGCAACAAGCCCCACCCCCTGCTCCCAGCAGCCCTCAGTCAGAGCAAGAAGCAGCCAGGTAAGTTGCAGAGCCTCCCCCGGCCCCCCAATCCAAAACAGTCCAGTGGCACCTTTAAGACCAAGTCTTATTCAGGTACAAGATCTCCCTCCTCTGCGAGGACAGATCTGCACGTCCCCCCCCCCC